ACCCTTTGTCTCACTGTGTGGTCAGAGCTGCTCCTGCTGGTGGCTGTGGAAACCAAGGATGAGAGGAGACTTGGGGAGGTTGAGTATTTTGTTCAAGTCACAGTGCTGCTGAGTGGCAGACCGTGATGCACAACCAAACCTTATCTCGTCCTGCTGCTTCTGATTATAGGCCCTAGATGGCGAGTGAGGCTTCTGATGGGAAGCTCTTCAAAGTGTCCACAAAGGGTGTTCTGGAAAGTTCCAGGGTGTTGGGGATTGATGCAGGAGACTTTGGCATTTGGTGGGCTAGTCCACAAGTAGTGGGGCTGGTTTGGATTCTGATTCATTCACGCCTCCTCCCCACATAAGTTACCTACTTCAGAGAAGGTTACTTATCTGGGCTGGTGGTAGTCTGATAAGGAGTAATACTCACCCTCATAGCAGCAAAGGGCCAGAGTGACCAGCAGGACACACAGGGACAGTCTCATGGTCGATGTTGCTTTGAGTTCAGCTTTAGCAAACAATGAGCAGTTAGCAGCAGGACTCAGCAGCCTGGGGAGCCCAGGGCTATTTGTGCCCGGTGATCCTCACAGGAACGGCCCACAAAGACATGACAGGTCACAAGGTCTGGTTTCCAGCCCTCCGTTCCTCACTGAGGCCTGATGCCAACCATCATGGTGACAACCCCAATGACTTGGTCAACCGTCAGCATTGCTGGTACCATGCATATCTCCTTTGTGGTAAAAACTGAAGCTGAAGTTTTAGAAAAGTATGATCACTTGATTAGCAGGCACCCCCCAGGATTCAGCTCCTTAACTAGAGTTTCAGAAATGTAAAATCAGTTGATTGGTGGGAGCCTCCTTAGGATTTAGCTCCTTAGATGGGGGAAGTGACTGGTTTTGCTCATCTGTCTCAGCCTAGCATTTGGCACAGAGAAGAGGATAGGCACATAGTCCTGGAATACTTGCTTGTGCTACATCTTAGTGGAATAGGGTGCATGCAGCTTCAGGGTGACTCTGGGCAGTGGAGGTAGAAATGTCAGTGATGTGGGGACACCTGTGAAGATATCAGTGGTGCCCGGGTCTCGAGAGAACACTGTGCCAACAGGAAGATTACTTCACCATCCCCCACCTTCTGACTCTCATCTAATGGTTGAAACATAGTGTAGCGAGGGTTCCATCAAATCAAACTACTCCTAACTGGTAGTTCCCTTGTCTGTTATGAGGGCAGCACCTGCTGGGTCATCAGGGTCCCAGGAGCAGCTGTGGGCACAGGGACTGTCCTCCTCCTGTCCCCTGCTACACTCATGCACCCCAAAGCAGCCCAGGGGCATGAACTCTTCTGAGGAAAGGCATTAGGAAGCAGTATGGGTACAGAGGAGCATTCATCAGATCCTCTTAGGAGAGACAGAGTTTGAGATGAAGTGGTGTTGGGAACATGGAACCCATGGGAACAGCTCGAGGGAAGACCAGATACCATAAACCAAGTGGCTGGTAGGGACCACAGGAATCCATGTGTGTTACCCTGAAACGCCAGTGCACAGTGGGACAGGGATGGCTTTGTGACTTGGGAAAAGGATAGGACTGGCTGGGGAAGCAGAACCCTTCAGTTAGGCACAACATTTGTGGCCTGAAGATGTAAAACAGAGAGTGGGGTGAAACATGCTGGTTTCTCCCCCTTGCTTGCTGTGTTTGGAATTCAGAGTGCCTGCAGACCAGTGGGCACTGTAAGCTCCATGGCCAGGGGACAGGAACTGCCTCCAGTCCCCCGTGCAGGAAGGGGCAGAGGAGCCAGTGACTGGTGCTGCACTGTCCTACTCTGCCTGTTGCCCTGATGCACCAACAAGCTGACGGCTAGAGGGATGGGGCACAGGTGCTGGGCTGCAGGGCAGCGAGTGGAAGAGAGGGCACTGTGCTGCATGCAGGACGCTGGCTACCTCGGGAGAAAGGCAGATTCTAGGAGAAGCCTGAGGCCCAAGAGTGAAGGGAAACAAAGCCAAGTGGCCTGGACCATTGTGCAGCAGCCACATTCAGTTTCCTAAAGGACGGTGTTTTTAAATGGGAGAAGGCACTCAGGGTGCACCTTGTCTCCCTCTGGCAGAGGGTGGCAGGGGGTTTTCTGGGTGTTCCAGAGGGAATAGGCTCTGTGGAGGAAGCTAGCCATATTTTTGAACTTATGCAGTTTTTGAATAAATGACCTCTTTCTGTTTTCACCAAACCTCTGCCTGTGGATTTTTACCTAGAGGGTGGCGGTGTACAGCAGAACCCCCAATACTGTTCAGTGACATTCTTCTTGAAAGAATCACTTTTGTTTGGGGTGATGATCCAAAAAGTCACAAAAATGTGTGGAAAGTGAGTGAGCTACTCCATTTCATATTTTTCACTGTGGGGAAATTTTCTTAGTATATTTATTTGGGGACTTTCTTCCCACCACAATCTGTCTCATTTCCAAATCTTTTTAGTTAGCCATGCCTTTGTTTTCTTTCATATTCCTATCCTTTATATATATGAACCCTGAAAAGCTGGTGTTTGTGCTGCCTGTCGCCTACCAGAACCAATAACAGAGGCAGAGACTGAATCTTTATGGGCACGTTATTCAGATGGCCGATGAACTGAGAAGACAGCGAGTTTGTACCCTAACAGACCGTCTTCAATTCCATTTTCAACCGACCTTTCTATGAGAAGAGAAAAGTGCAGGTAGGGGATTGGAACTCAGTGGAAAATGTTCATCAGATAAAAAGCTCCAGCGTTCTTTCATCTGTGGCCTGGGTGGTAGTCTGCATACGTCATCCTCCAGTTTGACTCTAATTCATAAAGAATTTGAGAGAAGAAGAAGCGTACTCTGTGGGTCACCGTCACTGGGCCAGACAGGGTCTCTCCTGCCTCCGTCCCAGAGTTGTCTGTCCTACTCACCTCTCTGTTACTGGAGCTGAAGTCCTTCAGGTTCCACATCCCAGGCCCCCGTCCAGCTGCCTTCTTGTTACCGTCTGCGTGGAAGGCTCTGGTGGGAGATTGAAGCTGGGAAGAGGGCAGGCACACGTGATAGTTCTCAGCTTTGACATCGCCTCCTTCAGGGGTGGCAGGAGTGGTGTGTGTGGTACCCACAGCAGCCCAGGGAGGCTGAGCCGCACCCGTGGCTTCATGGGCAGGCTTCTGGGTTCTTGCTCAGTCAGCTCGGTCCCAAGAGCAGCAGCCTCAGCTTCCCCTGCAGCCATGGGGTCTGGGCAACACCATTTGTCTTTCTCTCTTGCACTTCCAGAAACTGTCTTCCTACCATCTGCAGTCAACAGGCAGCCTGTGTAGTCTCTTTTTCACTTCTCCAGTCTTGCAAACTCCTTTACTACCAACTCCTTGTTGAGCTTCTCCCGGTTCAATAGACCTTCAGTGTTTTTCCTTTTCCTTATCGGACACAACCTGATAAACACCAGGGAAGACTGCTTATGGCTAACAGGACTGTATGCACAGAAATGCATAACTTGTAGAGTCACAAAGGGATGAGCGGAGCCCCATCCCGGACAGGACTGGGGGTCCCACTGACTGCCAGCTGGAGGGAAAAATTAAAGCACCCACATACAGTAAAATCTCAACATTTTACATTCTCCGAACCAATATTCTTGACATCTTCAAAAGCATGAGATCAGCACCATTGCCAGTACTTCAGAAACTGTGCTAATCTGTGGCTCTTTTGACAATTAACGCTATATAACATTTTGTGATGCAGTGTCGTTTTGTCACTTTGGTGTCGCCAGCTAACCTGTAACTTATTGCTCCTACAGGAAGTCAGTTGTGCAACCTTTGACTTCTGTCTTCTGTGGTGAAACACCGCATCCTGAGCAAACCCAGGGAACGGGAGAGAGGCAGCTGCCCGGCACTGGTCACCTGCTCCTCCTCCCACCCTTCCCTCCTCTCCGCATTAAAAATTATTCACGTCCCACCCTGACCCTCCATTCCTCCTTTGCACAGAAATCTGCTCACTCTGAAGGAGTTTTCTCCAGCACACGCTTGGGCTTCTCTTCCTTCAGATTTATTTCTCAGTGGACTTCATCCTACCTGCTCTCTATCTGCGTGTAAAACACTTCTAATCAAATGTTGTCAGTTTCTTTTCCCACCACACTGTTGAGTTTACTGTTTTATTCTTTCCCTGTGTTAATCTCGTCCTGTGGTTTTTTGGTGGGAGGCAGATTTCAGAGGAGGATATGCAGCGATTAAGTCCATGGCTGTTCTGCGCTGCCGATTCCCTTTTGGGTCATCTGCTGAGTTCCGCTGTGGTCCAGGGCTTTGATTGATCATGACCTTGTGGTGGCAGTTGGAAGTTTGTCTATGGGTTATTTTTTAAGCAAGTATAACTCCCTCTAAATCTCCTTTTGAAATATGTTTCTGTGCTGAGAAACCTTAATTTCCTACATTGGATGATAGTGACAAAGCTAAAGATATTTGTAGCAGGGAAATCGTTTGAATATCATTTAAGGGACATGGGGAGGGCCTCTGCCTACGCTGAAACAGGACTCCAGGGCCTCCTTCATAAGGGCTGGCTCAGGTGGCAGGAACACAGCACAGGCAGGCAGTTCAGCGCAGGCTTCTCCCTCAAGTGCACTTTACCTGAGAGGTCCTGTGCAGAAATAGCTGCCAGGCTGTTTTTTTAAAAACTTATGCCCAGTTAACCACCAGGAGCCCTTCTTAGTAGGTGTCCTTTTCCTTAGAGATCACACTCTCCATTTCGAAACCTTCACGGAAGCCCAAAATTGGAGATTCCCCTTGGTCTTGATGCCATAGACCACTGATTGACACTTGGCACGTCCTTTCTCCAGCCTTATAAGAAAGAGGAGGAAAAGATGGAGGTGCGCAGGATCCCACTAAGAATCTCTGCTGGGTGGAGAGACCGCGACGTCCCCCGTCTGGGAGCCACACAACTCCTGTCCAGCCAGAAGCGGAGACCGGGCAGATGTGCGACACTTTGGGCCACCGCCGCAGTCGGAGCTTTACGGTAAATCTGCGCTGTGCGCCTCGCCCTCGTGCGCAGGCGCGGTACCGTTGCACGCAGGGCAGTTGCTAACCCAGCGGTTTTCAGAGCTGCCTCGCAGAGAGCCTGGGCGGTCCAGGTTCCGAGGCCGACGGGGCGGCTTCGCCCATCCTGAAGCCCCCGGCGTCCTCGGTTAGTCGATAGCCCTGCCCTAGCAGCAGCCCGAGCCTGGGGAAGAACCCTCCCTGGAGCCGGTGGTTCGGGGGGGCGCAGATGAGAGAGCACTGCTGGGATGTCAAGGCCAAGGAATGCCCGGGAGCTACGGCTTGAGGGGAACGGGCAGGACCTCAGCGCACAGTTGGCCCCGGAAGTCCATGCCTGTAAAACCGGGACCCGAGGTGGAGCCCGTGGCGCCATTCTGGCATCCCCCCCTGGCCCGTGGCCCAACGTGGATCAGGGACAGCGGTGCTCGGAGAAATTGAGGCCCGCAGGTGCCCCAGGCCTGTGCGGCCTCGGAAGCTCCGGACGCCAGGGGGCGCTCTAGGGTTTTCCTGCAAAGTTCAGACCCAGCCGCCTCTTCTCCCACCAACCCTCTTAGTTTCAAGAAATGGCCCGATTCCACATATAAGTGAGACCATATAATATTTGTCTCCCTCTGACTTGCTTATGTCGCTTAGCGTAGTAATCTCCAGGTCCGTCCATGCTGTCGCACAGGGTAAAAGTTCTATCTTTTTTTTACAGCCCAATAGTATTACATTATGTAAGCGACCACAGTTTTTTTATCCACTCATCTCCTGATGGGCACGTGGGCTGTTTACAGATCTTGACTACCGAAAATAACACGGCTGTGACCATAGGGGTGCATACATCCTTTCTGACTGGTGTTTTTGGATTTTTAGGGTATATCCCCTGAAGTGGCATCGGTGGGTCAAAAGGCAGTTCCATGCAACAGACTGAGAGATTGCGGCCGGGGGGCGGGGGGATTGGATAAAAGATGAAGAGATTGTTAACAGGACTCAGGAAACTAACAATAGGGTGGTGAAGGCCAAGGGAGGGGGCGGGGGGGGGGGCCGGGTGGAGGTGGGTAAAGGCGGGAGTGAAATGGGGGACACCTGTGATAGTGTCAACAATAAAAATTTATAAAACGAAAGAAAGAGAGAGAGAAATTGCCTGAGCTGTAAGCCCTGCCTTCTTCCCGGAGCAGAAGCTGAACCTTGTCCCCAACGGAAACTCCCAAGGAAATTGCGCCCCTCGAGGTTTTCCTGAGCCCTTTGAAAAGACGTTTTCGTCTTCCTGATCGCTAGGGTCCGTCGGCATGAATCCCGTGGTCGTGGTCCACGGTGGCGGAGCCAGCTGTATCTCCAAGGACCGCAAAGAGCGGGTGCGCCAGGGAATCATCCAAGCCGCCACCACGGGGTACAACATCCTAAAGGAGGGAGGGAGCGCGGTTGACGCTGTGGAAGGAGCCGTGACCGTCCTGGAAAATGATCCCGAGTTCAACGCAGGTAAATTTGCAGCGCAACTAACCAGGTTACACTTCTCCCCCAGAATATCAGAACCTTTCTAAAGTGTCAACAAATCCAGTCACCTTTGTGGTAGAACTTAATATGCTTAAGAGGTTTAATTGTTCTCTTATTACCTGTTGGCCAAGTTGCTTTAAGAATTTTTAAACCTTTCCACCCCCTTCTTTTTTCTTTAACCCGCTTCTTAGAATTCACATCCCAAGAGGCTTTTTAATTACATTTTTGGGCGGGGGGGGGGCGGGGAATGGGGATGGACTACATACCGTATACTGTGCCTACTTTAAGTTTTGAAAAATGTGTAAGACACCTGTGTGACCACACCACAATCAAGATTTAAAACATTTCCATCACCCCCAAAAGCTGCTTGGTGCTGCTTCGCAGTTAATCTCCTCTCTAATCCCCAGCACCAGGCACCCACTGATCTGCTTCTGTCACCCTAGTTTAATGTTCATTCTGCAGAATGTCGTGTAGATGCAGTCATGCAGAATGGATTCTCTTGTGTTTGCCTTCTTTCACTCAACTGATCAGAGTAATAATAATCATAACTACTGTGTACCAAACAATGATCTAAGAAATGTGCACGGCTAACTAATTTCATCTGCACCATCGTTTTGCGAGTTAGGTGGAATTGTTATGCTCATCTCTCAGATGAGAAAACTAAGGCACAAAAAGGTTCAGTAACTTGCCGGAAGGCACTCATGTCTGCTTTATTTTAAAGTAGAAAACCTAAAATGTAGGGATTAAAATACTTCTTGGGATTATGCCACCCACCGAACATCTGTCAGGGAAAAGAATTTCAGGAAATCTTAACCAATTAGTCATCAACTCTTTACTATTTGCCCTGTCCCCTTGCCTTTGCTAAGCAGTCTTTAACACTTATGCAAAATTTCGTAAATCAGCCTGACACTAGTATGAGGCATAACTGCATGTTCATGGCTGTTCGTTGAGCCGGAATGCGCCAGATGCTTCCCCTGGCCGGCGGGAGGGGCAGCCTGCTGTTTCAGTGGGACACTCGTTACACTAAAACGCCTGTTAGTCGCTGCCCTCTTGGTGACACACACCACTCACTCACGAAGGCCCTTGATCTGGAGCAGGTGGTTGTGGTTTCCCACCTTCTCTAACAGGATCAGGCTTCTGCGTGAATTAGGGACGTGTGGGTTAGGGAACTCAGCAGCTAGGCCTTGTGACTTTGCTCTGTAACCAGGGCTGCGTCTCCGTTCCGGTTCCCTAGACCTCTGCTATTCAGCATGTGCAGAGTGGAGAGAGTGGGGCTGAAGAGATGAGAGATGGAGGAAGGGGGAGAGGTGGGACTTTTAAGGGCGGACTGCCCCCCCCCTTGACCTCTGTTTCCCCTTCGCTCCCCCCATTCCCCCCCCCCCCCCCCCGGCTGAGGTCAGTACAAACAGTACTCCTGGTAGCCTGCGCTCTAACCCGCTGGGACAACTATTCAGGAGCTTCCTACAGAAGCTGACTCTGGGCAGTGACTGCATTAGGGGTCGGTAATTCGCACAGTGACTCGGCTTATCCCAATGCTTATAAAAACATGGTCTGTGTCTACACTGTATTCACATTTCAATATGGATTTCACTTTAGGTTTAAAGCTTATGTCATAATCACTAGTTTATTAAAATTAGTTTATTTGTTAGAAACCAGCACTGGAAAAAAATGAACTCTTAGTCAGAGTGATAGAAATATTCTGTAAAGACTTTGAATACTGGCAACCAAATAATGATACGTACCCAATGGTAGCCATTATTGGCAACCAAATAATGACCACTTGCTTTCACTGGAGTCGAGCAGTACTTAACACAGAACTTGAACTAGTTACTTTATTCTCCCTAGAATTCAATTGGATTAGCTCTGACAGAGTCTTTGAGAGAACAGGATTTTTATTTATCCACCCTCTCTGAAGTACCAGGTCTAGAATCCACTAATCTAATCCATATCATTTTAATGGGCTTTTTCCAGTGCCATTTTTGCATACAGTAAAATTCCCCCTGTTTCAGTGTACAGTTCCAAGAATGTGATCAAGTCATTCTTAACAAGTTTTTGTATGTGGTGCAAGGTACGTATGAAGGTTCGGTTTCTGCTCCATTGTGCCCAGCACCTGTTGTCGAAAAAGCAGTCCTTTCCCCACTGCCTTGTCCGTTCACCCTTGTTGCAAATGGGTCGTTGGCTTTATGCGCTAGACTCCGTTTCTGGCCTCTGCTCTGTTCCACCGATCCACACGTGCATTCCTTCACCCGCCCCGCCCCGTCTTGACTACTGTGCTTTTATGTTGTCTTAAAATTAGATACTAAGTCTTCCAACTCCGTTGGTTTTTCATGATTGTTTTGGCTGTTCTCGTCTCTTTGCCTTTCCCACCAATTTGAGAATCGCCTTGTCGATTTCTAGCAAAAAAATTCTACCAGGATTCTGATTAGGGGTGTGTTGAATCTGTAGATCAGTATGGAGAGAATTAAAATCTTAGTACTGAGCTCTCCGATTCATGAACACAGTACGTACTTCCACGTCCTTACGTCTTTGATTTCTTCTGTCAGTGTTTTGTGGTTTTCAGCATTCGTATGTTGTTTTTTTTTTGTTAAATTTATACCTAACGACTTCATGTATTGTGATGGTATTGTACATGCTACTTTTTAAAATTTCAATTGCCTAGTTCACTGCTAGTATATGAAACTAGTTGATTTTTACATGCTTATTTGTCATATATGCTTATTTGCATGTATCTTCTTTGCCAGGGTGTCTGTTAAGGTCTTTGACTCATTTTTTTAATCAAGTTCGTTTCTTATTGTTGAGTTCTAAGAGTTTTCTGCACATGTGGATAACAGTCCTGTATCAGGTGCGTCTTTCACAAACGCTTCCTCCCAGGTCGTGGCTCGTCTCTTCAGTCTCTTGACACTGCCTCTCCCAGGGCAAACACTTTCCATTGTAATGAAATCCATCTCGATGTTCTCTTTCGTGGTTCAGCCCTTTGGCGGTGCACCTAAAAAGCCAGACCCAGGGTGGTGCATATTTTCTCCTGTGTTATCGTCTAGGCATTTTATACTTTTTCACTTTACATGCATGTCTGTGATCCACTTTGAGTTCATTTTTCTGAAGAGTATCTGGCCTGGTTTTTTTTACCTGCGGGTGTCCAGTTGTTCCAGCAGCTTTCGTCAAAAAGACTTGTCTTTGCTCCCTTTGATCGCTTTCTCTCCTAAGATTCTGTGCCTCGTCCCAGCGCGTGTGGGTTTTCCCACGGCGCCGACCCGACCTCGGGCACCAGCTCGGTGTCAGCCACATGGCTCGATCCCGACTCCATCTGCATCCCTGCCTTGGTGTTAACGCCATGCAGTACTTTTTGTTTCAGACTTGTTTTTTCCATCTCAAGAAGTTCTCTTTGAACCCTTTTCATATTTTTCTCCACATTCTGGTACATATGGAACAATAGTTATAACAGCTATTTTAACTGCTGCTTTACTAATTCTTATCATTCCTGTCATTTCTAGATCTGTTACCATTGATGGATTTTTTTTTCACTTCTTATTATGGGTCAGATTTTCTAGTTTCTTGGGTGCCTGGTAATTTCTTACTGGACACCAAACACTGAATTTTACCTTGTTAGGAACTGGATATTTTTATAATCCTTTCAATATGCTTTCCCTGGCCAGGTGGCTCAGCTGGTTGGAGTGTCATCCTGTACACCAAAAGGTTGTCGGTTCGATCCCTGAGCAGGGTACATACAGGAGGCACCTGATCGATGTTTCTCTCTCTCTCTCTCTCTCATTCGCTCAAATCAATGAACAGCCCTGGCCAGGTGGCTCAGTTGGTTGGAGCACCCCCGCCATGAACCAAAAGGTTGCAGGTTTAATTCCAGGTCAGGGCACATTGAGTGGGTTGTGTGTTCGGTCCCCGGTTGGGGCACCTGCGAGAGGCAACCAATCAATGATCCTCTCGCACATCTATGTTTCTCTCTCTCTCTTTCCACCTCCCTTCCTTTCTCTCTAAAATCAATAAAAACATATCTTGGGGTGAGGATTAAAAAATAATAAAAATTTTAAAAATGAAATCAATGAGCATATCCTCCGGTGAGGATTAAAAATAATAAGCCCTGGCTGGTGTAGCTCAGTGGATTGAGCGCAGGCTGCGAACCAAAGTGTCGCAGGTTCGATTCCCAGCCAGGGTACATGCCTGGGTTGTAGGCCGTGACCCCCAGCAACTGCACATTGATGTTTCTCTCTCTCTCTCTATCTCCCTCCCTTCCCTCTGTAAAAATAAATAAATAAAATTTAAAAAATAATAATATATATAAATAAATAAATATTCTTGAGCTTTGTTCTTATTCCATTTGTACAGATGAGGAGACAGTCACAAAGAGGTTAAGAATAGCTAGACGCATAGGCATTAACCTAGGCAGAGAACCCGGGAGGAAGGATACTAGTGGTGAAGAGAACAGCATTGCCAAGGGCACAGAGCAATGAGAGCTTACGATACATTCGGGGAAAGCCAGCATTTCAGTAACATGTGGCCAAGGAGAGGAGATGAAGCTGGAAACGTAAGTCAGAAGCCAGGTCAGGAAGGCTTCATACTATCGATTTTACAGGCCATGGGGCACCAAGTCAGATTTTTGTCTCCTCTGGCGATGGACTGCAGGGTGAATTGAAGGAGGCAGCTTAGAGGAAACTCAGAAGCGACTTCTAAATTCGTGCTTTCCACTCCTCTTTGGGTCTAGGCTGTGGCTCCGTCTTGAACGTCAATGGTGAGGTGGAGATGGACGCCAGCATCATGAGCGGGAAAGACCTGTCTTCAGGAGCCGTGTCCGCAGTCCGGTGCATCGCAAATCCCATCAGGCTGGCGCGGCTCGTCATGGAAAAGGTACGTGTGGCCCTCGCACCCTTTCCTACGGCATCGTCACCGCTGTACTTCAGTGACTAAAGGGGACAGACCATACGGAAATGCTTGAGGCCACCCCCCCTAAAACTGTATAAAAGGACAGAAGTAATGTTGACTTTCTCAAATAAGCCAGGATTCTGGCTCTGCAGACAATGTAATTTGACTGGCAGTCCCTGGACCAGTGATTCCTTTGTCTTCATGTCATCGTCCTGTGTTCAGCCTTCTCTCAACACATATAAAACACAGGCGCACTGAACAGTTTTGCTGTTTAATAGCGTATCTTAAATACAAATAGACTAAGTTCTCCAAATTTATGGTCATGTATGTCACATTCCTAGCAATATGCCATCATGGGGCGGGGGGCGGGCGGGGGTTAAATACAAAACTCAGAGCCAGGCTCCTTCCTTCCTCTTTCTTTCTTTCTTTCTTTCTTTCTTTTTTAGATTTTGTTTATTTATTTTTAGAGAGGGGGGAAGGGAGAGAGAAAGAGAGGGAGAGAAACATTATGTGTGGTTGCCTCTCGCACGTCCCTGACTGGGGACCTGGCCCGCAACCCAGGCATGTGCCCCTTCTTGGAATTGAACTAGCGACCCTTTGGTTCGCAGGCCTGCACTCAGTCCACTGAGCCACACCAGCCAGGGCAAAATACAGAACTCAGAGCCAGGCTTCTTTCAACATTCAGAAAAGCAAGCCACTGAAATTTGCATTTTTAAGGCTCACAGTAGGAACAGTTTAAAAGGTTTTTTGTGGTTTTCTTCATTTTTTATTTCATTGATACTTCTTTTTTTTAATATATTTTATTGATTATGCTATTACAGTTGTCCCATTTCCCCCCTTCACTCCCCTCCACCCTGCACACCCTCTCCCACCCACATTCCCCCCCTTTAGTTCATGTCCATGTGTCATAAGTTCTTTAGCTTCTACATTTCCCATACTATTCTTGCCCTCCCCCTATTTTCTACCTACCATCTATGCTACTTATTCTCTGTACCTTTTCCCCCTCTCTCTTCCTCCCTATTGCTAACCCTCCATGTGATCTCCATTTCTGTGCTTCTGTTCCTGTTCTAGTTGTTTGCTTAGTTTCTTTTGGTTTTTGTTTTAGGTGTGGTTGTTAATAATTGTGGGTTTGTTGTCATTTTACTATACATGTTTTAAATTGCCCCGACTGGTGTGTCTCAGTGGGTTGGGTGTTGTTCCACAGACCAATTGCTGGTTTGATTCCTGGTCAGGGCACATGCCTGGGTTGTGGGCCAGGTCCCCAGTTGCGGGTGTGCAAGAGGCAAACAATCAATGTTTCTCTCCCTCTCTTTCTCCCTCCCTCCCCCTCTCTCTAAAAACAAATAAATAAAATCTTTTTAAAAAAAAGGTTTTAACTTTTTCAAAAACTAACCATTTTTCCACTTCTTTCTGGTTCAAGACACCTCACTGCTTCCTGACTGGCCAGGGTGCCACAGAATTCGCAGCCGCCATGGGGATCCCGGCGGTTCCTGGGGAGCAGCTGGTAACAGAGAGAAACGTCAGGCACCTGCAGAAAGAGAAGCAAGAGAAAGCTGCTCAGAAACCACACCAGCAAATGTAAGTGCCCTCCGCGGCGCACAGCGGGGCGTCATTCAAGTGTGAAAGTTTGACAAGTACATGATTATTTGCATTTCTTAAGTAAGTCAAATATCACGTGGCAGTTCGTTGTTTGAGCACAATAATGCACTCTAAGTATGGGGAGACTGCTCTTTTGATTCTTACATTTAACCCCCGTGTATTACTCCTATGAGGAGTGACTCAGACTAAGCTAACAGAGTTCCTTCTCCAACATGACTCAACAGAGGAATGCCTGGTGTTGATGAGTGAACCCTCCGAGTGCTTCTTGATGAGTTTGTCACCTTGAGTTGACTAAACAGGCTCCCTGGCGTCGTGCACCCCAGGAGCCCTTTCACAGTGGGGAGAAACCAGTGCCGCTCTTGGGGGTTCGGGTTAACCATGCGTTCTGAACTGCGGTTTTCTGTGGTGCAGGGGTCAGGATCCCAAATAAAACTCCCCTTATTTAAACCAAAATCTGAAAAATATAATTTGAATATGGCCTGGGAGTTTATAGTGAAATATAGCCTGTTAACTTTGCATACTTTTTTAGAGTTGTACTATTTAACCATATACTTCAGTATCACCTGGGGAGCTTTTCCAAAACAAACATAGCTGGGCTCTTTCCCTGAAAAATCTAGTTGAATAGATCGGAGGTCGAGAGGCCAGGCAGGTGTATTAGGAGAAAGTTGCCCAGGTTGAGAAGGTGCTTCCCGAGACTGGCCCTCTGCTGGTAGCTGGTGAGAGCCCCGCCTAGCCTGCTGCTGTGTCTGCAGGCTGGAGCGGCAGCAGTGGGCTTACTCATTCAGTGGTCCGTGGACATCCCACAGACGTTGCCGCAACGTCTCCCAAACACTGTACAACAACACACGTCTCCACCAGCCCGTACTGCTCTTAGGTAACAGCAAGAAGGGCTTCTGCCCCGCGCCCTGCACATGGGAGCACCCTCGTGTCATAGCTACGCAGAACAGCTGGTTGGTTACAGGTGCCGGGGCACCTCTGGCACCCAGCGCCGGCACAGCATCGCCCACCCCATCATCCGCTCATGTGACTGACACCATTCAGCCCCCAGGGAAATGCTTCCGTGCGTCTCCTGCTCTGTGTCACCGAAGCAAAGAGCCCCTGAGTCTCACGATTTGTAGACTGTCCCACTGCAGGTATCAGGGGTGGGCACAGCTGTGGAGTGTGGGAGACAGTCGAACAGCAGGAGAAAAGGCAAGTTCCTCACTTGTCAAATAAATTCTTGCATGACCAAGTATTGTTCCTCCATAGCACCAAATGTCCGTTGTCTTCCCTTTCTCCCCGTTGAGGCTCGGGGTCCTGGGGTGTTCATGAGTCAGGGCAGTATCTGCAAGCCTTGCTCGTGACGGCTGATTCCTGCCACTCTGACCTTTGTACGTGTGTGTAGGTCTACACTGGCACTGTCCACTACAAGTATGAGCGCCATGTTTTTAAAAAGTAAAGAACCCTGGCTGGTGTAGCTCAGTGGATTGAGCACCGGCCTGTGAACCAAAGGGTTGTCGGTTCAACTCCCAGTCGGGGCACATGCCTGGGTTGCAGGCCAGGTCCCCAATAGGGGGCTTGTGAGAGGCAACCACACATTAACGTTTCTCTCCCTCTCTTTCTCCCTCCCTTCCCCTCTCTCTGAAGATGAATAAATAAAATCTCTTTTAAAGAAGTAAGAAGAGGTGAAATTAACTATATTTGACCCATTGTGTCCAAAATATTATCTCAACATGGAATCAACATAAGAAATTATTTGAGATAGTTTATCTCCTTGTTTCATACTAAATCTTCAAACCCTGGTGTGTACTGCACACTTACAGCGGGCCTCCCCTCACCCTACCCCTGGTCACCCCGTGTCCGGGGCTCAGCACCACAGCAGCGAGCGCCTGCTGGGCCGCACGCACGGTGCAGCTCTGGACCACCTGCGGGGAGAACCAGCTCTTTAGGTCGGCAATGAAATGGACACTGAATATGAGAATTAGGAATGGTTTTATTCTTATAAAATTATTGAAAAGATTTAGTTAAATGTTCAAAAGTATAAAGTTAACATTTTCAGCTTTTAAATAATTTTGATATTAACATTATCGTAATTCATGGTTTGACTAACAGTAATAGATAATTCTGCATAGTTTGGGGAAAGCTAACTTTTTGAAATTATATCTGCAACTTTTTTCCATTTTTTGCTCACTCTTTTTTATGAAAATATATTCTAACTTGACCCATTCAGTATAATTACATCTCATTTTTTAATCTCTAGATGATTAAAAATGAGTGAGAGTCTTGAGAACTTGATAGAAAAAGAATACTAAAGTGGAGCTCACAAAAAAAAAAGAAGAAGTAAAAAATCTTGAAGAAGCAGTCTGCTTGCATTTTTGGAAACAAAACAGTAAAAGTAAGCACTCTTCTTCCAGGACGACCCACATAAAATTTGCAGACGGGACATTACAAATTTTTTGTTCAGTGGAGATTTAATTACTCATCAAAACAATGAAAATTAGTAACAATATTGTTCTCTCCAAATCCACAGCCTGAACAGCTCAGCTGAAATCCCTGAAACATCATGTCCGTTACTAGAGGAGGATCTAATTGCTAGTGGCAGAGACTCACGCACAGGAAAGGACATGGGGAGGCCCTAGCACTGGGGGGCAGGCTGAATAAACAACCGGCAACTGATAACACTGGGAAAATGGTACCAAACATCGGGGTAACGGCCTTGGGGGAACAATACTATGTGTCCAGTGTTAGCCACACCTCATGATGCTTTTTGCGCATTTTCGCGCTGCCATCAACACAGTGTTTACAAGAAACAGTGGAAATTTTCTAGGTTCAGTAACAATTATTTCAACATTTGATAAAATGCCAAACGTAATTACGACAAATAATGAATCTAATGATTACTATCTAGACTACAGAATACAGAATCATTTAATGGGTAATAAGTGAAAGATGAAACCACACATAAAATTTTTTATTTTTTAAAAAAGATTTTTATTTATTTATTTTTGGAGAGAGGGGAAGGGAGGAAAAAAAGAGAGGGAGAGAAACATCAATGTGTGGTTGCCTCTGGTGCGCCCCCTACTGGGCATGTGCCCTGGCTGGGAATCCAACTGGCAACTCTGGTTCACAAGCCAGCACTCAGTCCACTGAGCCAGTCCAGCCAGGGCACATGCAAAATGTTTTCAATACTCAGTTCAACTAGAATGTTCCATGGTGAGAAGACATGTTGAACAACTAACATTATATGCATCGTTCCACTGCCCAAAGAAAAAAAAACAAGTCTAAATCAATGTTTTGAATGAAGAGAAGAATTGGGAAGAATTTTTTTTATCTTAGACTAAAGTTAATTTTTAAAACTATCGAAAGCAAGCCTATGACAATGGAGCTAATGTGGTTGGTAATTAAAAGGCCCGTAAGCATGAAGTTTGTCCCAGAACCATCTACGTGACGCAGACGGCTCACGGTTTGAGTTCTTCCAGGAGACGTGCCCTCGGCGGCGGCAAACCGAGCAGTGGAGGGGATGCGGGACCGCGAAGGGCCTGGCCCAAGGTCTTCCCGGTCTGCCCAAAGACGGAGCAGCTCGGTTAGACTCACGTCCGGCCTTGTCATGAATCTCAGACGTGTGGTGGGAGGACCAGCTAAATGCTGTTGAAGTAGAATAATTTAATTTTGATCAAAACTGAAAAAATTTTGATCAAAACCACAGGAGATTCTCAAAGAACAAATTATTGACTCTAACAGAAAGTGAAGTTTTGAATCCATGCAGTTACTTAGATTCTACAGTTACTTAATTTGAACTGTTCGTTTCTATTGATAAGCTTAACAAAAGCTTTGAAAAACATCTGCTGGCTGTTTCATTTTCAAAAGGATTAAAAATATTTTTTTAAGTTTAAAGAAACCAAACCAAAACTGCCCGTGAAATAAATATGCAAGAAAAATGACATTCCAATAAAAATACAAGGAAACTGAAACAAGGAAACAAAAACATTGGCCCGACTTGGAGAAGATTCGAGCACAAATAATCCTGAAACCAGTTTCTACAGAGGCTGTTTTCCTCTTCATTATGTATCAGAGCGCAGCATCATTTGAAGAGAGTTTTGAAGAAAACTGAACAGCATACTTGCAGTTTTCTTTATAGTATACGAGCACTGAAGTGTGGAAGAACTTAAGATCTTCTACGTGGCTCTAAATCTTGAGAGATGATGAAAATGACAACCGTAAGTGATTGTGAAATGTGAGGTCAATGCAATAGTGGTCTCTTCCATGACCACATATCCCATGTGATCCCATGCGGCACGTGAGCGGGTGATATCAAAGCCAGGGTCCATTTCCAAACCTACGTATCGCTTTAAGAATTCCGTTGAAAATTCCAGTTGCTACTGCCTCCGCAGAGTGATGCTGCTCCAAACTGAAACTCATTAAAAACTTGCTAAGAACAACAATGACTCAAGGAAAGTTGTCTTATTTGGTACTTCCTGTATAGAGTGTGCATGTACGGGAATGTTAATTAGGAGAACATAATCAGTATAAAGCAAGGAAAGTGAATTTTGTGGAATAAATACACAAGTTATGTATCGTGTGTGTACGTGTGTGTGTGTGTGTTTTCACTCACCCAGCAGATCAACAGAGGACTCAGATGTGGACAATACTAATTAAGTCATCGTCAGTAGTTTGTTGACTTTCAGTCACGTGAAAACCATAGCTTTACTATACAGGGTCCGGCAGAAGTAGCGCCACAGAGTATGGCTGGTGGGTGTGTGAATGCCCCGCACGAGATGGACAGCAATGTGAACATTTCACCTGAAATGCCATGTGGTGTGCCTGAGAGTGATATTGTTATGCTACAGAATTACACACGTATGATTTTGTAATAAAAGATTTTTATGTGATAAAAAGGGGGCATTATTTGTGCCAGACCCTGTATTTTTGATTTCTGGATATGGACTTTGTATCCTGCTGTTTTGCCAAATTCATTTATGAGGTCGAGCAGTTTTTTGGCCAAGTCTATAGGGTTGTCTATGTACACTATCATGTCATCTGCAAACAGTGACAGTTTTGTTTCCTCCTTTCCAATTTGGATGCCTTTTATTTCCTTTTCTTGTCTGATCGCTGTGGCTAAAACTTCCAATACTGTGTTGAATAGAAGTGGTGAGAGTGGACAACCTTGTCTTATTCCTGATCTTAGTGTGAAAGCAGACCCTGTATTTTTAAGGTGCATTTATCACCCTAAAATACTAGAACACATTTATAACTTCCAAATATCAAACATGAAATGTTGGCCTCCATCTGTATTGTATGCTTGCCTTGACCCCTGCCCAGTGCTGGGCGTGGGCCTGCCACCAGCAAGGGCTGCCAGCACCCCCTTCCTCATCTCACACAGGAAGGATGACACTGTCACCTTAAATTGGCTCTTCCCAGACTGAACAGCCCAGTGTTCCGCATTTGTCAAGGGCCGTTCCTTGCCGGGAGTTTGCACGTTTTGTACTGTGATTATTTTTCTCTTTAGTTGTTTTGTCTCCTTATCAGTCTTAAGCCTGTCTGGTCTGTGTCAAATTTCCCCCAGATCTGTAGTCGTTAATCTTGCTTTTACTTTGCTGATGGCGTTTTGCCATGTGTCAGCTTTCATTTCCTGTCATCGAGTGCGCGCACTACCTTTTCTTGTGCAGGTCGTGAGGCTAGAAACGTAGAAGGATCCCCCGTGCTGAGACAGGAGCCACCTAGATTTTCTAGAAGAATGTTGTTTTACTTTTTAGATTCAGGTCGTCAGCTATCTGGAGTTGGTTTTTGTGACTGGGCTCCTGTTTACTTCTAAACAGAATGCCGAGTCTCCCTGTCTAGCCCCCGGACGCCCGACTATGTCTAGCGCAATTCAGACGCTCCCTGATGGCCTGGCAGGTGCCTCAGTCTGGTGTCCAAAACTGAACTTTTTATCCACCCCCCACCCACCCGCCCTCCACTCCACACACACCAACAACAAAACAAAACACCTGTCCCTAATGATCTCCAACGTTGCCACCAGTGCTTCTTGCAGCCTTTCAGCTCTGGAGCCCGAAAGCCTTGGAGTTGCTCTCACGTCTAGTGCGCCTGCACATCCCCCCACTCACCCTTCATTGTCCCAAGCCCAGCCTACTTCTCACCTTCTCCACTGAAACCACCCCCACAGACCGCCGTCTGTCCCCCCTCTTATCTCCCTCAGTCACACACACCAACCACAGTGGTTGTTAAGATAACCTTTTGCAGGAGCAGAGCACGCATGCAGAAGTGCGTAAGCCACACGCGCACCGTGGTGCATTTTCAGAGTGGACACCCCGTGGGCTCAGCGCTCAGAGCAGGAAATAGAGCATTGCAGAAGCCACACACCTGCCCCCAGTCCCTTCCCTTCACTGCCTGCCCTCCAGGTGGGTCAGCACTGGGAGCCCTCCTCTCGTTTCCAGGTTGTGGCGATACAATAGCACTGCTGTGAACACGCGGTGCCCTTGGTGAGCGGGGTGGCACATTTCTTTGTTGTTCTATTACTGTTGTTCCAGTTCTTCCCCCGTTGCTCTCCCCTACCACCTTCCATCCCATGTTCCCACATGTATAAAGGACCCATGGGCATGGACAACAGGGTGGGGGTTGGCTGTGGGAGCACAACATTGCTCTCGGACAGAAATGTAGGAGTGTAATCGCTGAGTGGGCTTTGGTAGGCGCCGCCGGGTGGTCTCCCAGGGGGCTGTGGCCGTTCACCTTTCTGGCGCTGGAGGGAGAACTCCAGCCCTTGCACAGCCTTGCCCACGCTCGACACCAAGCCTTTCGTTTCGGCCATTCCGAAACAGAATGGTGGTGGTGGGAATGCGATTCCTTCTCAAACGCAGCTCACGTGGTGACCTATCTCGGCTCAAGCTCGCCAGTGTCTTCCCACGTCACTCCGTGGGGGCCTTACAGTGGCCCGTAAGCAGGATGACGACAGGATTTTGTGCTCAAACTGGAACTTAAACTCTGAGAGTGAAGGGGCACTGCTGAGCCAGGGCAACGGGCGCGAGTTGTCTGTTGGTCACGGGGTCCCCAGGCTGTGCGGTCACCGCCTCCCCCGCCCCGCCCCCGTCACAGCCGTGGCGGTCTGGCTGCTGCACTCTCTCCCTCGCTTTGTTCTCTGCGACCACAGTGGCCTCCTTGAGACTCCGTGACGTGAGCGGTCACGCTCCTGGCCCTGCCCCAGGGCACACTTCCTTCCGAGAGGCCCAGCCCCACCGTCGCGCTCCCCAGATGCCGCTGCAGCCGTCTTAGTCTCTGTTGCTCTTCCACACAACCCAGCAATTTCGTGGCTCTGTTACCCTCTGGCCCGAGCAGCCCCGTGGGAGCAGGAACGTTGTCCCCGCAGCTCACAGCTGTGTCCCAGCACTTACAAACGTGCCTCGAATGTCACTCACCACGGAATCTGGGTGGCAGGCAGAGGGCTGACACTCAGTGTCTTCAACTTTTCTACCTGAAGATGTAAAACAGAATGGTAGGGGGAAGTTACCTTTTTTCACCTTTACGGCCAGCCTCGGAAATAGGCAAAGTGAGGTCCGATGGGCAGCATCAGCGTCCCCTGGGAGGCTGTCCCACCCCAGATCTACCGACTCGGGGTCTCGGGGCGGGGGGGGGGCAGGGAGCCGGAGACTTCTGTGCACACCCGGGTGGGAGACGCACTCGGCCGCCTTCACCGCCGTGTTGCAGGCGGGGTAATGAGACTACACTGAGGCTCACAGCCCGCGGATGGCTGGCGCGGCCGGGCCGAGGTCCCCTTCACGCGGAGGTCCCCTTCACGCGGAGGTCTGAAGACGTGTCTGCAACCCCGCTGACTTGTCGAGCACGAAGCCGACAGCCGAGGCCCGCCATTCCCGCGAGTCCAGAATGCCGGGACCGAAACGTGTCACGTGTGCTTCTCTCGTGGATGGGGCCCAGGCTGCGTTGCTCCTCCTCCTCCACCTGTCACTTTTTGTCTCCTTATTTTTGGCAGAAGCTTGGGAACCGTGGGAGCCGTCGCCCTGGACTGCACGGGGAATGTGGCTTACGCAACCTCGACGGGGGGCATCGTGAACAAAATGGTCGGCCGTGTGGGGGACACACCGTGCGTAGGTACTCCTGGCGGGGGGCTCCCGCCCCCTCCTTCCCTGTCACCAAGTCCCCGCTCTCTGCTCTTCCCGTCTCCTCTTTCCTCATGTCTTGTTCCTCCCGGTGGCAGCTTCAGAATTTCTGGCAGCGGCAGCCGGGTGGGGAGGTGCTGCCGCACGTCCCGCGGGCACTCTGTCTGTCCTCGGCCACGTGACTTGAGGGGTCGCCCCCAAGCTACCCGCAGTGTCTCTTCCTTCTCTGTAGCTCCAGTTTCAGGGCCCACAGACTTGGTCCCAGAGGGTTAAATACACAAAACCTCTCCCCAGGCGTGGGTGCAAATGAAGGAGCTAAGAAAGCTGAGAATTTAAGGTTGCAGTTATGACACGTGCATGGCACGGAAGTGACGCACTGCTACTGCAGAAATGTTACAGGTTGAAAGGTTCTTTGCGTTAGGGTTGAAGCGGATCCTGGCTAACTCCCAGGAGCGGGCGAGGGGTGGGGGTGGGGGTGGGGTGGTTGTGCGAGTCCCCACCTGGGGAAGACCAGAGGTTCGGGGCACAGGAGGAGCCGTCCCGGAGCGGCTGCCCCGTGGAAGGTCAGGCCTACAGCCCCCCGCCCGCCCCGGCGCCCCTCGTCCTCCTGACTCCAGGGCAGCACACGGTGCTTGCCAGTCCACCGCTGCATCCCAAGACCTTTGTGTACACGCTGGTGCTCCTTGGGATGGAACATTTACGTAGCGCTAGACGTGCAACACGCATTCGAATCTCTTCACTGTTACTCAGAACCATCTCCTTCCCTGGGCAGGATCCGGAGGTTATGCTGACAACGGCATCGGAGCCGTTTCAACAACGGGGCACGGGGAGAGCATCCTGAAGGTGAACCTGGCCAGACTCACACTCTTCCACGTAGAGCAAGGTACGGGGAACAAGTGCGTCTGTCTCGCTGTTTGTAAATCGATGGCAAAGCCCCCGAAACCCTCCCTCCTTCGCTGCGGGTGTTGCTTTCGGGGGAACACCGTCTCGCCTCTTTCCCGCCCGCTGTTGGGACAGGAGCTGGACTAGGAGAGCGTGAAGAGCACTGCCTGCCGCACGTCCAGGCCGGTGGGGAGGCTTGGAGCCTGGGCCCCAAGAAAGGGCAGCCTGCCAGGGCTGGGGCCAGGCCCGCCTCGGGGCCAGGAGGGCCGTGGGCGGTGCGGGTCCTGCCCGGAGCCCTCCAGCAGAGATCGCCGACCGGGAATCTCTGTCGCCTCACTGTGGTTCTCCACGCTGCAGATGACTTGTCCATCAGATTCCTACAAAAGTGACGTGTCACTTCTCAGTGTTTCCTTATTTCCAGGAAAGACACTGGAAGAGGCTGCTGAGATGTCGTTGGATTATATGAAGTGCAAGGTCAAAGGTTTGGGTGGCGTCATCGTGGTCAGCAAAGCAGGGGACTGGGCAGTGAAGTGGACCTCCGCGGCCATGCCCTGGGCGGCTGCCAAGGACGGCAAGCTGCACTCGGGCATCGATCTCAGCGAGACCAGCGTCATCGACCTGCCCTAGGCCCCCGGAAGGTTGTGTTCTAACGCCAGCCTGCAGGACAAGTACGGTTTCCCGGTGTGGAGACTCCGCTTAATCAATTAGAGCTAGAAATGGAAAAATTCTACAGTCTGTCACTCGTTTTGTTGCCTTGATCAATGAGTACCTGAGTGTTTGGTGCAGGGTGGATTCCACAGTGATGAGAGAAATGCCTGTAGGAGGCCCAGTGTAAGACTGGGCCTCTCCCATAACCCACTGTCCTAGGCTGGAGAGAAAAAATGACGCGATCTTGACCCAACTGGGCGCAGGGAGCGCCCTTGGAATTGGGAGGCCTGCCCCCGCAGTGCCCCTCCCCCCCACTCTCTTGGTTGCACTTTCCACCAGGACCCCTGGGGAGGCCCAGGTGGGAAGGAGAGAGTGGGGGAGGGGCCTGAAAGAGGCGGGGCGGCAGCGCTAAGGGGCGGAGTCTGGCGGAGCAGCGGGAGGTCGCAGCGTCCCCTGGACTCAGAACGAAGTTGGGTGGAAGCCGCTGTGAGAGGGTGAGTTGATTTTCCTGAGAAAGTTCAGATCTTCTCTGGCTTACTAATAGAGACATGTCCAGATAAGGGCCCTCTGGTAGCCGCAGCTCCCTAATCCGTGGGTGAGGGTGATAATGCAGACAGCGGATGGCGCTCCTTCAAATCCCAGCATTCTCTTGGGCTCGCACTAGAGCCGTGGGCTGGCGACCTCTCCGCCTCTCCTGAGACAGGGAGGGCGACTGCTGCGGAGAGGACAGTGTGACGGTGACTGGCCATGCTGCGGCCCCCACCCCCGCACGGGGCGCGAGTGCCCTGCGGTCAGGTCAGCGTGGTGAAGAATGTGGTGTCCTTGGCAGGTGGGCGGACAGTGGGGGGTCCCCATCAACCTCCCTTCACTCTGGAGCCGCGTTTCTGCTGTGCCGTATCTGCTCCTCTTTCTAATCTGTCAGGGCTGACCTTCTTTCTGGAAAGAAATTGCTTAACCTTCAATTCCATGTGCCTCTAATAAAATGTATTTTGAAAGAGTAACTGTGGTTAGGAGTCACTGTTGACAAAGACCGGAGTGTGTGCGGGCGCCCCCTTGGCCTGGCGGCGCAGAGAGGTGCCCAGGGAAAGGCCCCGTGAGGTGAGGGGTGTGCAGATCACTGTGAAGGCCAGAGGAAAGGAAAGAGTTGCTCAGTGTCTGTCCTGAGGGTCCCGCGGACATGTGTGGACGCTGGCCCAGCCCGGGAGGGGGTCTCCAGGTCTACCGCCTCGACAGCCTCAGCACGCAGCGCCTGCCTGCCAGAAACGAGGGTTTTGTTAGCGGGCGTATTCGTTTGCTAAGCCGCCAACGATGAGCGTTCACCGGCAGCGGCTCACACACAGTTATTCTGTCCCAGCTCTGGCGGCCGGGAGTCCACGAGGAAGGTGTCAGCAGGTTGGGCTTCCCCTGAGGCCTCTCTGCGGGCCTTGCAGGCGGCCGCCTTCGCCCCCTGTGCTCCCGTGGCCTCTCCTTCGAATGCACTGCGGCCAAATGTCCCTTCTTTTACGGACGCGGTCGGACTCAGGGTGGGCCCGCTGAGCGGCCTCACTCGAGCTCCGTCACCCTCCAGAGGCCCCGCCTGCAAATGCAGTCGGGGCTGGGGCTTCAGCAGCACACGGGTGTTGAGGGGGCACTGTGCAGCCACCCCAGGAGGCAAAGCAGAATCGCTTTAGGGCAGGGGCCGCTGGCCTCCCTCCTCTCCGTGGGCACCACCCACATTACCGCCTGAGCCCCGCCTCCTGTCTCCCCAACCCACTGCACCCCCACCCCAGTCCCTGGAAAAATTGTCTTCCATGAAACCAGTCCCTGGTGCCAACAAGGTTGGGGGCAGATGCTTTAGGGGTTGGGAAAGGAGAGTCTCTTTGGAGAAGATAACGACCACGGAGTAGAAAAGGGGAAAGGCGGGAAAGAAGGGAGGATGGGCTAGTGGAACGACCTGATTTGCGCTCATCAGCCTGGCCATTCCCAAGGGGAGTGACTCCAGGTACCAGGGGCTGCAGGAGGCTGCGTTTGCGGTGCCCCTGACCTCCTTGGCCAAGCAGCCCCACTAGGTCTGCACGTGGGCAGCCCCTTCGTGCAAGCCAAGGTGCTCGCCCCGGGCCCTGAGTCTGTGAAAAGTCGCCTCCACCAGCCTGGGAGTTGCATAAGCAGAGACCATGCCTGGGTCCCTCTGCCCCACGCTTTGTCCTGTGGCCTTGCTCCTTGCTCCGTGGAACAAATAAACAAGCAAGATAGTATCCAAAAGAAAAAGATGATCTTTCCAGCACTTCTCAGCCACAAGAGGGCAGCAAAGCACAAAATGTCCAACGGTTTCCTCAGCCCAGCAGGGAAATAATTGATCTTGATTCTGGATCAGAACAATCGACACAGAAAACATAAAACCGAAAGAGCGTTCCTGTTCCCCACCTTCAGTTCATCCAAATGCCACAATTTATTGCAGAGCAGAATTGTCCAAATCGCACACACACACACACCAGCAAAGGCCCCACAAGCCCATCAGATGCACCGCGTCTCTGACAGAGACAGAAGGGAGCCAGCTCCACAGGGCCAGCTGCCAGAGCCGGACCCCAAGGCGAGCGTGCCCGGGCAGCCCCAGCCTCTGCCCCATGGCTCTGTTCAGCCAGGAAGGCAGGCAGACCGTAATTTGGCCTAAACTTGAAGAAAGGCTGGGACAACCCTGAGAGGGAGCTTGGGGAGCAGCACCTGCCCCGCAGGTGATGCCGCCAGGGCCCCGGCTGCCCTGTAGCTGTTGCACAGTTAATGGTCTTCCCAAACGATGCCCTGTCTGCACGTGCTCCTTTCTAGCCCGAGAGTCTATTCGCTCCGAGGGCAGAAGTGCAGTGGAGTGCGGTCAGACCTCATCAGCATCCCTCTCACCAGAAATGGTGGCCCATGGGAAACCGGCAGGGGACACGGTCCTTCCAGCCCACACCTTCCCTGGGGTCCTCCTGTCGGCCTCCAGCCACCACCTTCAGACTTCCAGCAACTTTGGGGGAGCGAGGAAGTGGCCCCACAGAGACTGCCCAGCTGAGATAAATACAGGGGCCCCCTCCTCTGCAGAGGTGCGGGCATGACCTGGGCAGGAGTGGGTGCTGGGCTGCAGGAGGGGGCTCGGGAGGAGGTGAGGGCCTGGAGCGCAGGTCGGGGCAGGGCCAGGAGCGGGTGCGGGTGCCCATCCGCTGTGTGTTCCGTCCAGAGGGCCAATACCACAGACACCACGGCGGCCAAGCGGCCTCTCTGCCTCACCTGGCCCGCACACCTGCACCCGGGAAGAGCGGAGGAGCCGGAGTGGTGCAGAGCTGGACCGTTTCGAGGAAGTGACGAGGTGCGAGGGGGTGGCCCTTGGGAAAGACGAGGCAGGGAGGGTCCCAGGGAAACCGAGTTTCCCCGGGGGCATGCAGCGCACTCAGGTTACACGGAGGCTCACCTGAGCAGGGCTCCCTGTGGCCCTGCAGTGACAGCGCCGTCACATCCTTCACGGCGACCAGCCTCCGCCAAGGCTGAGGGGCAGCCCGGGAGCGTCCCAGGTGAGAAGCAGGAAAGAACAGCACGTTCTGGGCAACGTTATCCTTCAAGCCCTGCTCCGCTATTGAAGGAGCTTGGAGCTCCCAGACACAGGGAGAGGTCTGGGCCAGCATGGGCTGGGTGGACAGAGGAAAGCAGGCTGGGACTTTTTTTTTTTTTTAATCGCCGATCATCTAGGAGTTAACCACTTCCGGCTGCACAGCTGTCAGCACCTTCTGGATCCCCTGCAGCTTGGTTCTGAGCTACGGCGGCGGGGGGGGCAAAGGAGAAAAGAGCCTCGCCCATCCTGCAGGTCTGAGGCTTCCCCACGGAACACCCCCCTCACACAGGCCCTGGATTGTATCGTGCAGGGTGGCGATGTTTTAATAAACATTTTTAAGTTAAAAATAACCTTGTCATACACTAAAAGGGATATGTCTGCATCAGAGAGATTGGAAAAACCAGATTCACGGTCTCAGAAATGTTTGAGTAGACAGATCCACAAAAATAAGAACTAAGGGGGGACATTTCCTAGCAGCCAGGGACTGTCAGTATCAATGCATTATTCATTAGTATTTCTCCCAGAGTGAGATCATACTAGGCATGCTTTCTCAGTTAACCACTTTGCCACATTAAACTTTCGCATTAGGCAATACTCGGTCAATATTCAAATTTCTGCCGTTCTCTCAAAAAAACGTCCCTGGCAGCAGATCCTTTCAGTCCCGCCCCTTGCCTGGGCTGGTGACAGTGCCCCTTCTAGGCGGTGACTTGGGTAGACCCGGTCCCCAGCACCGCCACACCCTCCAGGCTGGTCAGGTTGCCGCTTTGCGGGACAAGGTGAACGTTCGGCCAGAACCCATCGCAGGGGCTGGGAGCCAGGCATCCCGTTTCAAACAGAAACGTCGACCCCCCCGCCTTCTGCCGCAGAGGCCCACGGCGTTGGGCTGTGGGAACAGGACTGGGCTTAAGGTCTGGGAAGGGGAAGGTAGGTTGTGCCGAAAGCCCAGGGTCCCACCCAGAAGTTGGGCAAAGAGGGACTGGAGTCGGAAGAGCAGGTGGGAGCCAGTTCGCCCTGGGCAGCCACCAGGAAAGGGCTGGCCCACCACGCAGCCTGCTCGGAGCCTCCCCAGCAGCCTCTGCCCAGGTCACTGCCTCTCCCCCGCTGCACGCACCAACCTCTCCCCAGGCCCGAGCTGCCGCACAATAAGCCAGAGCTACCCAAGGGCCTCCTGGGCAAAGGGCAGTTTTCAGAAGTATTGCCGGCCTCCTCCCAAATCCAGAGGACCACACCATGGGCTGAGAACAAAGCGGGGTCCCTGGCCTTCCAGAACGACGTCCCACTGTCCGCCCCATGCCAGGTCCCTGGAAGTTGGACTCCTGGACTCTCTCTCCCAAGTGTCTTCTCAGACATCAGGTATTTAATCTTTTTGAAAAAGTAAGAAAGAGCCCTGGCTGGTGTAGCTCAGTGGATTGAGCGCGGGCTGAGAACCAAAGCATCGCAGGTTCGATTCCCAGTCAGGGCACATGCCTGGGTTGCAGGCCACGGCCCTCAGCAACCGCACATTGATGTTTCTCTCTCTCTCTCTCTTTCTCCCTCCCTTCCCTCTCTAAAAATAAAAATAAATAAAATCTTTAAAAAAAAGACTGAGGATACAGTCTTCAGTAGTGTTTAAAAAAAAAAGAAAAAGTAAGAAAGATCTAGACGAGTTCTTCCCTTCCCCTCTCCTTCCGGCTGGCTTCTCTCCTCCCTCCCCCTCCCCGGCCCACCCCCCTCAGCTCACTTTGGAGCCACATGCTTCCCCGTGACCTCACCCCGACTCACCGACCCCCTCCCACCCCAATCTTCCTGGTCATCTCCCTTCATCTTATCTTTGGTCTCACACAGATAAGCACACCCTGGATGCCTCATGACTCAGGCCTCTGCCATTTCTCCCCCAAGCCCTTCCCCACCCTGTCTGTCTTCCTCAGAAATTCCAGCACGGTTTGTCAACGGTTCTCACGCAGGAATGAAGGGTCAGGGCCCAGGGTAGGGGCCCCCTGCAGAACGGAGTCTCCCTGGCACCCGCGCAGCCGGTCCAGCCCCAGGTCCCAGCTGGACGTGCGCAGAAAACAGGCATCCCGTTCCTGGGAGTGTGACGCGCCCCACGCATGGGTTTGCACCCGAGTTCTCACCCTGGAAGGCCTTCCCCGTGGCCAGCTCAGCAGTGGCCTCCCCAGCAAGGGGCTTCATTGTATTTGAGAGAGAAGGTTCCAGCACCGATTCCTGCCTCCGACCCCCCTCCCATAACCCAGAGCAGGTCCGGCGGCCTGCGGCTGCGAAAGCCCGTAGTCAGAGGCTGATGGGCTGGGGTTTATTTCCAGGGGCCAGCCACCTGGAGGATGGGGTCTCGGGTCACAAAGCCCATCTCCTGGGAAGACGGGGGACTGGCATCTCAAATCCCACCTCCACCTCTCAGTGCAGGCAGGGGTTTTTGTAAGGAGGGGAGTGGACAGAACCGAG